TGGGGGTTTATATTGTCGGGAGAGGGCATCTGGTTTCTGGTTTCTGGTTACGAGACCCCGGCCGATATGAGAGTGTAAACCGGAACCCATCAAAGAACAAGGCCCACCTCGCTTGTCGGGAGTTCAGTCTTTTAGCTGGCTGGAGGTAGGCCAAGTTCTTATGATCGGTCCAAACTAAAAAAGGTTGGTCAGCACCCTCGAGGAGGTGCCGCCACTCTTCAAGGGCCAATTTTACAGCCAGCAGTTCCTTGTTGCCCACATCATAGTTGCGTTCGGCGTTCAGATGCCCTCTCCCGACAATATAACCCCCCAGCCACTGATGACACTCCGAGCCCATGAGTTAAATGAAAGATTTAGGCTCACTGGAAATCATTACCACTGGTTACTGTTGTTATCTCTGCTGAGAATATATACTAGTAACCAAACAGCAGCATGTATGAGGGAATTCATGTGTTGTGGGAAATTGTAGAGTTGTCAATAATTCATAGTTTATAGAAAATAAACAGAAATTGCTCCAGGGCAGGTAAAACAAAGTTCAGCTTGTCCTCATCTGAAATTCATTTTGATTGTCTTTATGCAAGATTGATGAGGATCCCTTGGCCATGTGTTTGTACAGGCTACAGTACATGGTTTATTTAAATTATTTAAGTCTTTTGAGGCATGCATGTATGCACTGTGCTCACTGGGCTGCCTACTGACACACTGGCTATACCTGGATACCTGGATATACCTAAAGCGCAAGACCGCCCGGGGAGAGCCGAGGGGAGGAGAGAGTGGCGAAGGAGACGTGGTGTGATAAGGGTCAAAATGAGGCATGTGTAGAGATTGATGGAGGATAAAGTTACTGTGATAATGAAGGAAAGGTGGGAAGTAAGTCTGCAGCATTCATTCATACAGCAGATAGAATTTCCACCACATGCTGTGATCAATCCACATTGATCACTTTAATGGCACCAGGACTGATAACACTTACTGCACCTGATGTTTCAAAATCCAGGAAACTGACAAGGATTCAGTTTCCTATCATTTAAAGGAACAAGCATGTTGACTACATGCTACTGTATCATTAGTGGATCATCAGCCTCAGTGCTCTGGTGCAGTGCCAGTTATTTAAAGGAAGAGGATTAACCTTTGTAGCAAGAAGTTGTTAGTGGTGTATATCGCCCAAATATCCTACGTAATATTTTAACGACAGCACTCAGACAGCGCAAACCTCTGCCAAGGAGCTCACCATCCATATAATGCCATTACACCTTAAAGCACTATTCAGAATCAAAATCAGAATCAGTTTATTGGCCAGGTGTGTTGGACACACGAGGAATTTGACTCAGATACATTGGCTCTCAATGTGCAAACAGTAGATCAGCATAAGGCTGTGTAATATACCAAAAATAAGCAGTATTTACAAGCAACAGAAAGTGCAAACAATGCAGAATAAGCAGCATGAACAGACAGTAAACAATGCAGACAACAAAGGAATGTTCTTTGAAATGAGATAATTAGGGATAAAAAAAGTACTTAAAACAGAGTACTAGAGACCTGTACAAGTCTGTATAATCTGTACAATGTGTATAAATACACACAGGTATTGCACTGAGGTTTATTGTCCAATCATATGGTCATTGGTTAAGTGTTCATCAGAGTGACAGCCTGGGGGAAGAAACTGTTCCTGTACCTGGTTGTCTAGGTGGACAGTGACCTGTAACACTGTCCAGAGGGGAGGAGTTCAAACAGATTGTATCCGGGGTGTGAGTGGTCTGCAGTGATCCTCTCCGCCCTCCTTTTGACCTGTACGGTGTACAGGTCCTCCATGGAGGGCAGGTTCACACCAGTGACCTTTTCTGAAGTCTTCCCATGATAGTTTGACCCTCATAATATGATTCTTTGACCATGAAAACCTACCCCTAACATTTGAAATCATGTTGATTTTATTATTGGTTTGAAAGTTATACAGGAAAAGCAATATTTCATTAATGGCTCTTTTCTTCAGTATCTAGCTCAGTAACTTACGTAGATACATCAGATCTGTCGACATCCTTATGAATCAGCAGACTTTCAACTAAAATTTGTTCCAGCTCTGTAGCATTATTTGTTGTCACAGAGTAGCAAGTTTTCCATGAGCCCTATAAATTTGAACATTGTGAATCAGCAGATCTGGAATATTACTTGGATCCAGAGCATACTTTAGGGTGTGGTAGATCTTATATGAATGATGCAATTTTGTCCAAGCACTGTAGACGCTGTGCATGGGGTTAGAAGCAAAAATATTAAAACAGGCTCTATCTGAATGTGGTGATGAATCCTTTAAAACATTTCTGGATCCAGATGATGATCAGGATCAGCACCAAAATCTAATGGATTGTTCCGTAAGCCATACCCTGCCTCTCCAAACACTTTCATCACAATTCATTCATTGCATTTCAAGTTACCCTGTGAACAAACTAATCAACAAACAAACCAACAAATGCCGGTAAAAACATTACCTCTGCCTTGGCAAAGGTAATTATAGAAATTAGTGAAGATGACCTTCACATCTCCTCAGCCCAGGGTGAAATCTTACTTCAAGATTGTTTGGTTTGTCTGACCAACTGTTCAAAATCCAAATATATTCAATTTGCAATGATATAAAAGAATAAAAAGCAGCAAATCGGGACAATGGTTTGATTTAAAGACAGCATAAAAGTTTGAATTGTGCTGAGAGACTTATCTTGAATATGCTTTCCTTCCTTCCCACATGATTGGTAGTAATACTAAACCACACAACCAGAATGGCTTCATCATTTGGGGGCTGCAGATACCACACAGGCCATGGTTTTACCACGATACAGTTATGGCTTTGTGCCAGCGAGCTTTCCTTGTCATGCTGTGTGACCAATCTGTGTCCTGTGCTGACTAAGATCTTCCCTCTTCACATCTATCTGTGTGCTAATCAAGCCTGGAAAACAAATGTATTAAATAGAAGTATTAATAAAGAAATGGATGATTAACAAGCAGCCAGTTACCTTAATTAGCAAAACTGGAGCCTTTGTAATTCTGTCCTTTAGTTATCTCATGAAAATGCAATGTGTTTTTAAGTATTAACAACACAGTGTTGAGATGAGGGGGTGCAAAGAGACATAACTGTTTCAGTTACATAACATGCATGAATCTTTTTTGTAGGTCAGGCTCATTGTTGTGACAGCTTTAAGCCCAATTTTTTTTTTTTGTGCTCGGTGCAAGCTTGAAAAATGCAGCTACCAGCAGACGTGCGTGCCAGCTTGGTGCAGACTAGTTTCATTTCAACGCCACAGCGGGCATAGGGGAAGTCATAGCATTGCCCCGAGAAAGAGAGAGAGAGAGAGATAGACTGAGAGAAAAGCAGGGATAGAGGAAAGACACAGTTAGGTAAGTGGATTATGTCTGCCCTCTGTCTCCAGTGCCATTCTGCCCTGATCAAATACACGTGAATCAAGGCAAAACAAAAACTTTAGTTGACTACTATCCTTTTTTTAACTTACACAACTGTTCCACAACTTTTTGATTTCACAGAACATTAAGCTCTTCTTCCTGGTACTTATTTGGCTTAGGTGCCAGATGGTGAGGGTGTGTTAGCTAAAAAGCATATTTATAGAATGTTGTTTGAGCAGTTAAATGTGACATATGATTAATCTAGCACGAATAGTGTTTAAAAGCTACATTTATTAACAGAACATTATTCTGACAATTCTGAGATCTCATTCATTTTAATTTCTTTTTTGTTTCATTTTCTATTTCATATTATTAAAAACAGATTACCTTTGACATTAGACAGCAACATCTTGCAGTGGTTTTGTTTTGATGCAGTAAGTCCAGTGTTTCATTTGTACAATAATGAATGTTTTTTTTCATAGCCTCACTTTAACAACTAGCTTGACCAGCTAATATAGCTAAGATTGTGTTTACAGGGAGAGGTAAAAGAGCACCAAAGCTATTACAGTGTACTGTATATTGCATTGGAGCCTTTGAGAGTCAGGCTTTGTGATTTTGATTGTGTTTGGGAAATGGGAAAAAACCTATTAGACTAACAAATTAGGTATGACCTCAGAGGAGCACAGTAGTATTATTTAAAGCATATATTTTAATTTTTGTCCCCTCTGAAGAGGAAATAACAGGGATCACTGTGACTTATTGTCTCTTTTCCTCCGTTTGTATCCATAGGACTACACACTGACCATGTATTTCCAACAGTACTGGAGGGACAAGCGTCTAGCCTATGTGGGAATCCCCCATAACTTGACTCTGGATAACAGGGTCGCTGACCAGCTCTGGGTCCCCGACACCTACTTCCTGAATGACAAGAAGTCTTTCGTTCATGGAGTCACAGTGAAAAACCGCATGATCCGCCTGCACCCTGATGGCACTGTTCTCTATGGCCTCAGGTGGGTTCTGCTTTGAACTGAGTTACAGTGTAATGCACAATTTCTGGGACACACAAATGAGCAACACTCCCCACAACAAGCAATAAGGTGAATCTCAAGGTCAAAAATGTTGTTGTTTCCCAGCATCAAGTTAATTCACTGTGTTTAAAGCCCTATTACAGCGCCACAGCTGCCCAAGCTGAGAACTTGGCAGATGTTTGCTGCTGGCCACTGGGTAGCCAGAGGATTCTGTGTCATGCTCAAGGGCAGCTCAGCATTTGATTTTTAAGGAAGGGAGGGTGCAGTCAGAGATCATTCATGAAAAGCCGTACGAACTGAGTAGAAGGTGCATTAATGCAATGTTAAGCTTGCAGCTGTTGTTTGATATTTGTTTCATAAAGCCCTCATTTTGAATTTCCATTGATCAGGCAGGCTCAGAAGAGTTAGTGTGACCTATGAATATGGATGCATGCTTTGAATTATTAGTGTGCAAAAGCAAAGAGCGCTCATGTGTGTTTGCATGCGTTCTTGCATGCTTGTGTTTCTGTCAGCGTTTTGTACTTTACAGTCATACAGCCGCACTTGATTATGCAAGTAGAGTAAGCTGTGGGCTACTTATGGACCTCTCTGTGCTTTCAAGAGATTAGAGGGAGAGTCAGATGTGCGACGTGGTGTTTGTAGTATGAGCTGTTACACAACTGTATGTCAGGTAACATGGGTAACATACTGAGTACAGATTACTATCATGGTCGTAAAGAATGCACTCCATATTTATTGTGTGCTGTTTATCAGGGCTGCAACTAATTATTATTTTCTCAGTCAGTAGTTAATTGTTGAGTCTACATATTGTGAAAAATGCTCACCATAAGTTCCCAGTTTTCATATTTACAGTACAGTGCCTTTTATTTCACAAGACATTTTTATTTCAAAAAGGTCTGACATTTTTTCAAGTGACATTTCACATTTTGTTTCATCTTGTCACTTTTAATGACAGTGTGCTTATCACCTAGCTGCTAGCAGCTAGCTAACTCCTGTTAGCTAGACCAGCCACACAGAAAGACTTTCAGCCTTCATCAGTTTGTCTTTCCACAAGGAATGTTTCTAATCAAAACATAGCTGTTATTATGGAAATGAGTATTATGAAACAACATTTCATACAAATGAATTGCGTTTTAATCATTTCTATTGTGATTTCTGAATTTATAGGTTTATTTATATATTTGACTCCATGACTCAGAATCCAAAACCTGAATAGGTTCAATTTACTAGACTAAGAAAACCACCTGTTATTCACATTTGCTAAGATGGAACCAGAGAATTTTGAGGAATTTTTTTATAGTTGTCATTTTCTGTAAATGAACTATTAATCAACTAATTGTTTCAGGTTTATTGTTTATTATTTGAAGTATGCAGTACGTACAGTTTTGATGCTGCTTACAATAAAAAAGTGAAGCAGGCTTCCAAGATAGTTTAGTAATATAAAAAGCAATTTTTTATATTGGAATTCTTGATTACAAAGTCTATATGTAACCTTCAGTGTGTCACAGTAATCATGGATGTCTTCAGCTTGCAGACCTGATGTTATGATATCGTAATTGTATAACGTTTACACCCAATGGCTTTCTACAGCCTCATCCCAGGCTTAACGGAATGAAGATATCCAGTGGCTTACTGCCAAGCAGCCAGCTTTTAATCAGGCCAGCCTTAGCCTGTATCAATTTGATTTGTATTTCACTTTACTGCTTATATTAACTGTCTGATTATCGGCCATTTGAGCTAATCCATATCTGATAAATAAAGGGATGCCTCCACCAGTCCCAGCTCAGGTGAGTTGGTGCTAAACTTTGCCAATTTGTGACTTTTATTTGCTCAAAATTTAATTTAATCACAAGAAGGATGGTAGTTTTGTGAAGGAGACCTGAACTGAGTCAAAGACAAATGTGAGAAGTGCTTGTCTATCTGGGATCTAAAGCATAATTACATATATAGTTTCACAGTCAGCGTTTTACCATGGAAGGCGGCACAATAATCTTATTTTAAGATGATAGTGCCAATAGTCTCCAGTAACATGAAGCCAAGTGAGGAACTTGGTGTAAAGACAAATACAATTTGTGTCAATCACGTACAGTTCGGTATCTAAAATACATCCTCCCCCATCTGTCTTTTGTTTCAGGATAACTACAACCGCAGCTTGTATGATGGATCTCAGGCGGTATCCCCTGGATGAACAGAACTGCACGCTGGAGATAGAGAGCTGTGAGTGGAGAGGCCTAATGCCGTTAGGGCTGACATTCAGCACCGCGCACAGGCTGAGAAAAAAACCCAGCACAATCTTATGTGAAATATTGCACCTTGAATGAAACAATATTAAACCTTGTTTCTGTAGCATTTGCTTTTGGTAGGAGTGGTTTTACCTTGTATGACAAAGCAATGACTCATTTTAAAAGGGTACTCAATAGATTTAATATTGCACTTCCATAAAGGACTATTTTGTCTGACTTTAGAAACCTTGCTCCATAGCCACAGGGGCCATTATGCAACAGTCTTCTGTTCAAGTTTATTGAAGATTGATCCATTTATAAATTTACCATGCCTCATCCATGCTTACCTGCTAAATCTCTGGTTGTGGCTCATTGTGTTGTGACACCGAGAGAATATTATCTCCAAAGCCTGTAGCAGTTTTACAAGCTGAGGAAATGACCTGTATATGCTACATTGATGTGGCTGAGTTGTTAGCAAACAGTTGCTTTTTTACACATTCGGCAGATACAGAGCAAACATAACTTTCATTTTATTGTTGATTACAGCAGCTTTAAAAAAGAAATTTGGAAAATGAATAAAGACCTACTAAGGGCAAAAGAAATGTCAACTATTTTTGAACTTTTTTGACATTTTGTGAACTCAAGTGAACTTATTAACTGACTTGTTTTGCAAAGCAATGTCTTGGAAACAACTTCAAATACGTCTTGTTTTTTTCTTCACAAATGACAGCTCAGTTCCATGATGAGCAACACTGCATATCTTGGTCTCCAGTGATGGTTGGACAGATGGTTACACCTTGGTATATGTATGTATATGTGTGTGTGTTTCTTCTTGTACAGATGGCTACACCACAGACGACATTAGGTTCTATTGGAAAGGAAACGAATCGGCTGTAACGGGGGTGACACAGATCGAGTTGCCACAGTTCTCCATTGTCGATTACAAGTTGCTGTCCAAAGACGTTGTTTTTTCCACAGGTAAATGCCGTACTGTAGCCTTCACATGCTGAATTTCCTTTGGAAAGATCATAGATGATATTGTTCATAACAAACGTTAGCCTACTTTCAAGCCCATTTGATCAATCTTTGTTGCAAACCTATGTGTGCCAAAGCTTGACCTGTTGATCTTAAAGCCTCAGAGGCAATGTTGTTTTTGCTAGTGCTTCTCATTGGGTTGAAGCGTGGAAATGGAAGTATCCCTCAAGTAACAGCGGCTGATGCAGTGATGCTGGTATGGTGCTGTAATTACTGTGATCGTTTGGTTATCATGCAAACATTAAAATGTAGCTGGAGACCCCAGTCAGTCAATATACATTCAGTCAGTGTGACGGGAGCAATGTGATATTAAAGCCCCGGAAAACTTGGTGTCATCAGATTTAATAAGTCACATGCCATAATCTACTGTACTTGAAAACAAAAGCCAAGAGTTGTGTCTCAGAGTTACTTTGGAATTATCCTCCAAACTCCTAATGAATATTGATTAATCAAAACTGAACCATTGATGGTTAGGAAAAATAAATGCAAACACAAGAAAAAGGTGTGTGGGGCTTGTAAATCTTTTGACGCTGTTGTTGTCATTTGGCGTTGTTAAGCACATTAATCAAGTGTTTTCTTGAGAGCATTGCGGCAATTAATTAGAAGTCACTGGCACAGTAAGGCAGTTTGTCAAGTCACTGAACAAGAAAAACATTTGCTGTATTTCATGTTGTAATTAATTTGTTTCTAACTTGGAGAAGTGTAGTAACTCAACAATCCTCACTGCTCGCAGGGGCAAACTAATATTTTCTGTGAACTTTGGTTTGTACATGATCCTCAATTAATCTGACATTTATACAGAGCTTTATTGACTCTCTCTAAACAAATGCTGATCAAGCCTCCGCATCCGTTCGTCCTCATTTTCAGTCTTTGGCTCAGAGTGGTGCACATGTGCTGCATTGCATTTACCGTGACTCCTGCCGTCAGGTGTGACTCAAATGTGAATGTGCCGAGGTGCACGCACCAGAGTGCACCGGTTTGCGAGAAGTGGTGTCTGAAAGTTTAGTGTGCAGTGGTCTGCTCCTGGTCTCCTAGTAGGTTGTGTGAAGCACATCAAATGCTCCCCCAAGAACAGTTATGACCAGGTCTCTCTGCTACATGTGCCACTAGTCTCCTTGTCCTGCCGTGGTGTCTCTCTCACCCTTGATTGCTTCTTTTACTCTCTCCTCTTTCTCTTCCCAAGCTTTTATTGAAGATTTTTTCCTCTGTCTTGTAAGAGTTGTGGTGGGATGCCAGTTATCCTGCTCTCTGACAGAAAAACAGCCCAGGATTCAGGGCACCATGCATTCATGTAGGATGAGGCCCACATCCAGTGGTGGAAGAAGTACTCAGATCCCTTCATTAAGTAAAAGTAGCAATACAACAGAGTACAAATACTCTGTACTCTACAAGTAAAAGGCCTGCATTCAAAATATTACTTAAATAAAAGTACAAAAGTATTAGCTTCAAAACATACCTAACCAGACATTTTTGTGTTAATATGTAACATTTTTGCTTTAATTTGATCCCCTAGCACTCTGCATCGATGAATACCTAATAGAAATACCAGTGATACTTGTCAAGCAGCAGTTTTAAAAGAATGACAAGCAAAAGCAGCTTCTCTTTTCTAGCAGCTTGCATTTGATAATGAACACACGACACACATGACAATAAAAAGTAAAAATCCTATGTATGGCTGATAATATTAATGTTTCAAACTTGGTTTTGTTACTAAGCTTTTCAAACACATAACACACATCATCACAAAACTGGGCTATCAAGAAAACAGCTCAATAGTAACACACAAAAGGGTGCAGCATCTACACAGTGAAACAAAAATGATAGCGAGTCCATATGATCACATTTCAGGCTTGTTTTAAAACAAGAATATTCTAAAGGAGGTCTTATGCACTCGATGATTACATACATGATGTCAGACTAAAGATTGAGAATAGCATGTCTCAGGCAACAAGTCAGCAGCTGATGAGCCAAGACATGAAAAAAAAAGATACGATAAATACAATATAGTGCAATAACACTTTATTAGCAGATAAAATCTGAAATTTGTCTTGCATCTCAAGGCAGCTCCAATGCAAAAATAAGCACTGTATTGCAATACAGAGTTAGTTTGTCCTACTATTATACAGCAAGTAGCTACAGTATAAGAAATTTATACTCCTTGACATTTGCACCTTACATAGCAGGAAAACACACTGTTTAATCCCTCCTTCATACTTTTCCTGCTGTTTTTGGTTTCAGACCAACAAAAAACCCTGCAGAATCCGAGTGCCTCAGAACAAACATGTATGGGCTCACTGCCTCAGTGAAAGACATGTTTTGTTTGCAGACCAAAGCTGCCAGTCTCTCACTGCATGTAAGACTTGACTGTAACACCCCTGCCATGAAGGTGACAAAGAGACAAAAAACAGAGACATCAGACCTCCTACTGTACCTCCCGTCTACTCAGCTCTATCCTTCCAGACGCTATTGTTCTGCTGTCATCAACGTCTCAACTTTTGTAATCATCCCTGCATCCTATCTCCTCTCTTCCTCTTTCTCTCTCTCCTCCTCTGCCTCACACATGGTGTTCCTCCCCCTCACGGATGTTTTTTTTTTTTTTTTTGCTTTAGCAGTTACAGCCAGTACACTTCTACACCCACACACAAGTGAACCGCAGCCTCTTCTTCTCTTTAACCACTTCTGCATCTGTTACTGTAGAGATACTCGTTTGAGTTTTAGTCTGGTGTAGCTATCGTTAAGGACACTTCAAAATAAGTGAATGGGATATTTTAAGACTGGTAACAGTCTGTTCCCATATTCACACTATAATGAAGTGAATGTTCAGCATGTGGGGAGTTTGTTTACGGCTGCCAGAACTGCTAACCGTGAGCCAAATATAGGAGGATCATCAAGTGTGATAAACAAAGCATGGTTTGTGTATTTAAAGAAGCTTTACTACTGACCAGCTTTAGACTATGCTTGACAATGAGCTGATCTTTTTACTCTAGACTTCTGTTTCCGACTGCATTTGAAGCATTTGAATATTTGGGCTTGGGCAATTAGACTATATTAACTGGGATAAATGAATCGGTTGTACTTTATTAATGGGCCTTTATTGGGTTTAAGAGATAGTTTTAAGAAGTAAAAACCTTCAGAAATATACATAATAATGTGACAACTACCACTGAATTTGTACCTACAATTAAGGTGCCTTAATTGAAAAATTAAAGAATGGCTTTCATGTTATTTAGTCCATTTTAATGGATTTTTGCTTCTTAAAAGCCTTTAAACAATGTAGATAATCCATTAAAATGCCATATTATATTACTATTCATTCCATTAGTCCATCAATAAACCACTTCATCCTAGAAACATTTTATGTCCTCATTATGTTTTATATTAGAACATTTAATTCTATTTTTTATGCAACTTTCATCCCTCACTCGTGAACAAGGCCCCAAGATACTCAGAGTAGAACCGCTGCTCCTCCACATCGAGAGGAGCCAGCTGAGGTGGCTCGGGCATCTGTTTCGGATGCCTCCTGGGCGCCTTCCTAGGGAGGTGTTCCGGGCATGTCCCACCGGGAGGAGGCCCCGGGGAAGACCCAGGACACAATGGAGGGACTATGTCTCTCGGCTGGCCTGGGAACGCCTCGGCATTGCTGGAGGAAGTGTCTGGAGAGAGGGAAGTCTGGGCATCTTTGCTTAGACTGCTGCCCCCGCGACCCGGTCCTGGATAAGCGGAAGAAAATGGATGGATGGAATGGATGCAACTTTCAGTGCCTGCACCAAGAGAGAGGATGTCAGAGTGAATCTGTGGTAGTAGGAAGTCTGGACAGGATTTACAGCCACTCGTTACCCTCAGCATGAACAAAATGCCAAATCAGCAGCAGCACTGTGTGTCCACTTTAATATCACTAAGCCAGATGCAATACGGTCGCTTTCTCACTTCATTCACTGCTGCTGTCATATAACTGAAAGTAATTGCTATTTTTATATATTTTGTGAATCAGTGGGTCACTTGCTCTCAGACCATTTAGTGCCATTCGAGGAGCAAACATCTGGTTTTATAGCTGATTGGTTATATCAGTCAGCAGCAAAGTGAAGCAAATATATCATTTGTTGAACAGCCCAGCTTTAAAGCAACACTGTGGGATTTTTATTGCAGTCTAACATAGGCTATAGTACATACTGAATCTTAATGGGTTTGAGTGCAACTCTATCCAGCGCCGCACACAAGTGTGCAGTTGATTGGACCCACAACCACCACAAGTGGCTTTCGCTGATACCTGTCAGGTTTGCTCGGCCGCTCTGGCCTCCCTCACCTTTCCTACTGTCTCTTGCCCATTTACACTCATCACGTTCACCTGTTCCTCACTCCCTTATCACCAGCTGCACTTGATTAGGTTGCTCACTATATTACCCGGTTTCACTCCTCAGTCACTTGCAGTTCGTTCTAGTCTCTAGGCCATTTTTTCTCCGTGCTCTTTCATTTTTTGTATGTATTTATCCCCTAGCCAGCTACTGTTTTGTGTTCCCCCCTTGGACTGTTCCTTCGGACCGTGGCTCCACTCTCCCCTCCCAGGCAGGTCAATGCTCAGTCGCCTATCTGTTCCACTATTGCCTCTGTCTCTACCTTCAGTAGCCACCATCACCACCGACCAGCCCAGGAGTGACCCAGCCTACGCAGCTCGGCCCAGCTCTCCATCTCCTCACCTCCTGCTGTCGGTCAAACACCCGGCTACTACTCATCGACAGGACTACGCACTATTTCCCACTGTATTTTTACTCTCATCATCACTGTACATAATAAATCACTGCTTGCATCGAAGTCGGCTACCTGGGTCCGCCTCTTTCTCGTTCGCTCAGGTGCGACAGGTGCGAACGGCACATAAGAATACCCACAATTTGGAACTTACAGTGTAATGGCCTCCACTCCTACTTCAATATAAAATGAAAATGTTAAAATAGCTAAGAATAGTGGAAGTAAGGAGCCATGGGCTCAAGCCATGAAGACACACACTGGGAGACTGATGAGAAATCTTGCGTCGCCTTTGTATCAGTTTCATGCACATGCACACAAAAATACTGTTTACATTCTAGGGTGAAAACGTAATGACAGAAATGCTTTCTTGTAGCAAATAGTGGTGAGGAACATCATCTCAAACTCCTGACTTCTGAAGCATCATATGCACTGCTGCACACATTTATAAAGCTGTTATTCCTGCAGTAATGTGGAATCCCTCAGAATCATTGTGTGAGTTATGGAGTTATGTATGAGATATGCAGAGCTGCTAAATCAAAATGTGCTGAAATTTATAGCACCTGAATATTATTTCACATCATTATGAAATAGGGTTACAGCAAGTGGTGTGTCTGTGTTAGTGAAGGGGATACTTGTTACCATGGTGATAAATCCAATCCATGCTGTCAGGGTTGTCATGGAAACTGAAACAAAAACACAAGCTGTCCCTGTGTGCTCTTTGGAATAATATATTATTATACAATCAACATTTCAACCTTAATTTTTTTTTATTGTGCCTGGTGTACTTTTATGGTTAATTTTTATGTACTTCCAATGCTACCTTAAAGATTTAAAATGCACTGCTACTGTGTCTGTCTCATCTTTCTGTAGGTTCCTATCCTCGACTGTCTCTGAGCTTCAAGCTGAAGAGGAACATCGGCTACTTCATCCTGCAGACATACATGCCATCCATCCTGATTACCATCCTCTCCTGGGTCTCCTTCTGGATAAACTATGATGCTTCAGCAGCCAGAGTGGCCCTAGGTAAAAAATAAAGCATTAAAACACAACCCTGACTCCGAGCAGACTAGGTCGCACCTTGTGTTTGTCATCGCTGTGGTCACGGACACGTCTCCAGGGGTTATAAATACATCACGTCTCTAATGAATGTAATTTTGCTTCTTACTGAGGCGGGATGTGTGGATGCAAAGGCCCACTCACTGCAGGGCTCCCGTGAGCAGTAAACATGGCAGAAGCAGCAGGTTGCCGTTTGTAATCGCTGTGATTCCTTGCAGGAGGCTACAGCACTGTTTTGTCTGTGTTCACACTGGGTAGATGAATATCAGTCAATAGACGTTCCACAGCAGTCATAATGAATACCATGTTAAATTGGTAACTGACCATTCACTAATCCTGTCAGCGGCGGTCCAATCATAGCAACCGTCAATAGCACCTGATGTGAGCTTTGCCTGGTCCTAATCGCTGAAGATACAGTCTTGGAACACTCAGGCATTATTAGATTTCCTTCAGGGACTAATTCAAATTACTTTTGCACTAAAAAGGGAAAGCTCTTGCTAAACTGGCAACAATCCAGTCATTCATGCAGCAAAACCCCCACAGCCTGCACAGTTTTTCAAAACATCCGACTCCAAGTTAAACCAAATAACTGAAGCCAAGAATAACTTGAATTTAGATTTTAGAATTAGACTCCAGTGTGGAAATATCACATTGAACATAACATGAAAGCATGTTTGTGTTTTCTCTTTAAACTACCCCAGGTTTTCTTTGAGAGTTTGAAGAAAAATCTGCTCAGCAATTGCCAAGGGTAGATTGCCAACCAAGTAAATTAGGAAACTGCCCAAGGACCAAACCCCTATAGTCATTGTGTGAGCTGGTTTTTAGTTATATTTGAAGGCGGTGATATAATAAAGCTGTCATGTTGACAGGGGCATGCTGGGGACTGGAGACTACCAGGGAAATGATGGGTGCTATGATCCTTTGGTCATCTTTATAAGAATAGATATACTTGCACATACTTTTATTTGTTTTACATCCACCTTTATTTTCCAGTGTAAACTGGTTGGGTTTTTTTTGTAAAGGCATGCATGTAATATCAGGTCATTACAAATTGCATTTGAGTGTATATCTGCTTTTGTGTGTGTGTTTTTGCAAGTGGATGTGTACACATGAGCTCCTGCTAGCTGCAATATCCGGTGTGTGCCTCTTCAGCTCTGTAGTTACCTTGATGGTGGAAGAGGCCATGTGTGTGGGTATGTGTATGCGGCTGCTCCTTTGTATGTGCAAACCTGCCCGCAAGAGTAGTGTAATGATCACGGAGAAGTCAGCTGAAGGAGGCAGCAGGCAAAGAATTGAATAGTTTGAAGGAGAACCTCATTTTCCTGAGCAGTTTCAAAGGAAGTTACAAATGACCTGACTGTACCATAATCTGGTTGCAACCCGTTTCCCTCAATCATACCCTTCGTTCATAATCACATCATATGAACAGTCAAGGTGTGGGCATTGGTTGTTATTGGTACGAGAGCACTTTAAGTGTAGTAGGCACACAAGTCAGAGCTCATTGTATGTTTTTCCAGACCTTGGATTCTTCTTTTTTCCTTAACAACTGACTTCCAAAATGACAAGTTTTACAGTGCTGTGCATGCTAACTAGAAAGTTCTGTCTGTAAGTGATTAATGGAAGTGTTCAATTAATGCTGCTTTGATTTACCACCCATACTTTTGTTCTTGCAGTTAACATCCATTGTGGTTTCATGTGCTTTATTGCATCCTACATGATACCCTTTCCCTTTTATAATGTTGAGCTGTGTTGTTAATGGCCTATTGGCTTGTGATTACAGATTTGATTGCTGTGTGCCTTTGTTCCAGCTATTAAGATGGAAAAGAGACTCGGGGACATATAACAAGAGAATGAAGGGGGGAGGGGGCCGACCAAGGTGCATTGTGAGCAAATAGGGTAGCCACTACAAATGATGGTGAAATGGGGGGAGGGGATAAAGGATAAATGATGAAATAGAGGGGGAGAGATTGAGGCAGATAAAGGGAAGAAGCACGGACTAATAAAATGGAAAGTGCAAAAGCGTGATGAAAAAGGAGGGAGGCCCATGGTCCCTTGATTAAATTGTCCAAACAAGGAGTGAGGGGAGAGAAGGAGTGGAGGGAATGAAGGACAGAGAGTAACAGCACAGCTGAGAGAACACCTAGAAGAAACAAGGCTGTCTTAAGCAGAAAAAAGAGATTGTACAATCCAATAGGGTCAGCCATGTCGAGTGTATGTGGGTGCACACACAAGTGATGTTAGCCTTGTAATGTGCCAGTAACTCACACTAAGGGCTGGCCTGACCTTAGTTCTGCCGCTCTCGTTTCCCAACCCCCACACTGTTCCATGTCTCTTTGCTCTGCTTTATGACAGACACCCATATACATTATCCACACACACTCCAAAGCCTCGTCTGTGTGTGTATGAGTGGACCAGACACTGATAGGCTTCATTTATTTCCAACACGGGTGGATGAAGTAGTAGATATATCTGCCATATACTGTATTTATGAAGCCGTAGAGTGACCTACTGTATAGTGTTATTGCATTGTGTGCGATCAGGGTTTGCATGAATGTGAGTAGAAGCATGCTTATTTGCTGCAGCGTCTATGGTGGAACTCAACACAAAATACAATGGAAACAAGTTACAAAACACAAATTTTGTTCAGGCATGTTCATCATTTTTTGATGTAATTTTGCTTGAATCTTACATAATGTCTCTTTTTGTCACGGTGAAGGTGTGAAGGTGCTTTTACTGACTGATAGCAAATAACCAGGGTGCTCAGTACCTCTAATGGTTAAGTTACTGGGAGCTCAGGGCTAGCTACTGTACATGGAGCACTATGAGTTTCTGCTTGATGGCCGAGGGCCAGTTGGAGGTTTCAAGGCAGACGTTTGAATTTCAAAGAAGCAGATGTTATGCACTCACCTACCAGTACATGTGTGTTCATGCATTTTTCATCAACCATGAAAGCAATCAGAAAACTGTATGCAGTGTTTGCTTTTCCCTCTCAATCTCACAGCAACGTCTTTTTTTTTTTACTCTGGGTCTGCACGAGGAAGTACATGGTGTAGCAGAGAAAATCACCCCAGACCAAACATGTTTTCTATAAAAATATCCTTGTTTCTAATAGTTACACCTACAGTGAGTCATTTGTTGTTTTCTCCTACGTGACCTTAAGGCTTCTGATAAGATTGGTTATTTTTTAGATTTTTTTTTTTTAGTAACAATAAAATATACTGATTACATTGGCTAACGTCCAGTTGCTTATTGAAACATGCAGTAGACACAGAGCAACATTCGTTTTGAGTCATCTGATGAGTGTAATTCCAATGCGCCCTCTCTTTTAGCTCTGTTCTGTTGTTGCTAACTTTGTCTGTCTGCTCTGTGGTGCTGGGCAGGTAGTGCACACCTGAAAAGTGCTGCCTGTCATTTCCAGAAACACTGGCTGAAAACAAAACAAATACTTTAAAGATGCTAAAACACTCTGTAGAGCTGAGGGGAACAGCAGAGTCTGTTTATGATTCTCTGTGAGTTTGTCACTGCAAGTGACCCCTCTCACATTGCGAGTAGTCATTTTTTTCTTTGTTGCTATAAAAACATTGATCAGTGCTGCTTTAAACAGTCCTTCACCTATTGCCAAAATAGGCACTGATTTATTTCCCACTGATGGATACTAGTAAAACTGTCCATTTCTTCCATTACTGCCCTTGTGAGTCTGTCATAGAAGAGCTTGTAGTTATTTTAATAATGCTCAAAACTATTTAAAAAAAATCTCTTTTTTGCCTCTATCAAAGGGATCACTACGGTGCTGACCATGACCACTATCAACACCCACTTGAGGGAGACTCTACCCAAGATCCCCTATGTGAAGGCTATTGACATGTACCTGATGGGCTGCTTCGTCATGGTCTTCCTGGCCCTGCTGGAGTACGCTTTTGTCAACTACATCTTCTTCGGGCGGGGCCCTCAGATGCAAAAGAAGTTAGCAGAGAAGGCAGAGAAGGCCAACAACGAGAGGGCAGCCAAGTACGATGCTGCAAGGGTGAGTGGGGATGGGATTACTGGATTTATCTATGTGATCTCTGAACTGGAGTGTGACTCAAATTATCAGTGGATAAAAGGGTTGATGAAAGGTTCAAAATGAAAAATGTTGTGGTGATATTTGTAGAAATATTCTTTGCCAGTGGTCTGTCAGTGTTCAGTGGACTTGTTATGAATATTTGGTTGTTTACAGGAAGTGCTGCAGGACAGCACAAAGTGGATAAAGTCCGAAATTCCTTTATTTATATTCCTCCCAGCAGGGAATGAAAGATAAAACAGTCTTGACAATGCAATTATTCTAACATGAACTTTTTTGTCAGCTCCTGACAGCAGCAGTAGCAAAACTGAAATATAGCACATTATTACATTATCATAGGCGACTGTATCCCGAGTGAAGGCTTCAGTAGCCAAATGTTGTTTTTGTTTCTTAAAAAGAATACATTTTCAGGTACTTTTCCCCACATGTGGCTGAATATTTTCATCTTCCTAGGAGGCAGGTAGTAGGACCACATCCCTAAAACGGTCCAATCAGGTTAAAGGTCTTCGCCACTCACGCTCGGTGAGTTGTCTGTTCAGTGAGACTCTTCAGTATCCTCGAGTCAACTCTACCATTGCCATCAACTGACATAGATGTTTTTAAATTTTCTTTTGCCTTAATGGAAAATCTTTCTCCATCCATGCAATGATTCAAATGGCAACAGACATCTTCATGCCATTGCCTTATTCTCGAGAGTATTCCTTTTGACTTCCACTTATTCATTGCAGTTTCTGCTGCATTGAAACGAAGGCTCATGCTTGATCTTATACTGTGAAACTGGTGTTCTAGATAGGAATCTATTTCTTCTTTCAGAGCTCATCCCGAATGCATGCTGTTTGCATATCTTTGTTCATCGAAATCATCATTAAAAGCCACATTTCTCACACAGCTTTCATAAAGTGACATTGCACATGTCAAGATGTGGCAAACCGGTCTGACTTTCAGTGGGTAGTCACTGCAGAGGTCCCCCAAGACTCTTTTTGAAAAGTGGAATATATTCTGAAAACATTTAACAGGACTGAGAAGTGGAATGTGCATTGTTGAATACTGCTCTAAGTAATGGTCCTCTGCTTTCAAACCAGATTTTAGAGGAGCTTATTGTCTGACAGACACACAGGCAGGGAGTGACCGCAGCTAGCTAACTGTCTTACAGCTAATACTTGTTTATACAGTAGCTTTTTGGGGCATCTACACATGGACTGCACAAGTGAAATAACACGATAATAAAAACTTCACTTTCTGTCAGAACACACCTTAAAGGTTCTTAGTCAAAATGCCATTTGACTTGAGCAACGTCTCTCTGCAATCTGTCGCTTTTAAAATTGAAATGTGGGACTTCCACAGTTGCCCCATTTGCATGAATGATTTCCATTGTCCATTCCTGTTTTGTGGTGCACACATCATAGGCATGGAGTATGTTTGATTAAATTGTTCAGAGTGATGATGTGGGCTTTTATATTGCTTCACTCAGGGGAAAACTTTTTTAGGGGTTGTAACAGGAGGCATGACACCCAGGTCCAATCAGTAGACATTTTGGCAGCTTAGCCATAACTGTGAGTGGTTCTGACTCCCTCACTGTGTCATTTTGGATCATCTTAACCATTGTCCATTGATCTGTCAGTGGAGATTCTTCCTGTTCTTCAGTTATTCAGAGCAGCAGACCTGTAGTGCAGCTGATTTTGATTGGTCATCTCGATGATAGTTGCCATTAGCAGGCACAAGCTGTGCCAGAAACTACTCCTTCCTCCACTCAGTTACCTTTCAGAAGAAACATTCAAAAGGTGATGACGCAAAATGATAATAATCAATGCTGACTTGTTGCCATGGCAAAACCATGACATGACATCCATGGATGGACAATGGGTCCCTGGGCACAGACTTGAAGGAGTCCCTGCATGCCTCCTGCATAGTGGCAAGTACACCCAGACTAATATAGACACGAGATGTAGTTGTCTGACATCTCTTTGTAGCTGCTGAAGCAGTGGGTGCTGGACCCCTGGGCCCCTGGGCCTGTGGCCAGTAGGCCTTTTCAGTAATCCTTCCATGATGACATCCACATTTCATTGTTGTGAGTGCACTGTGCACAGAGGGAGATCACTTTAAAACCTCAGGTATTGTCCTCTCTACCTGTTATGTAGCTGTAATGTTGTTTATTAGTTTTCCCATTTCTTTATTCATTCAGGCGGAGCCACACAGCCACGGGAACATCTTGCTAACCACCCTGGAGATCCATAACGAAGTGGCAGGAGGTGAGATCACCACCAGTTTGGCAGACATTAGGAGCTCTCAGTCCATGGTGCAGTTAGACAGCACGGCCTCGGCACACATCCAGTACCGCAAGCAGAGTGGTGGGATCAGCCCACGCTCTGCCAGCCGCCACTCTCTGGACCGGTCTGCCCAGATGAAACGCAGCCGCCTGCGGAGGCGGTCCTCACAGCTCAAAATCAAGATCCCTGACCTGACGGATGTGAACGCCATCGACCGCTGGTCACGGATCATCTTCCCCTCTGTTTTCTCACTGTTCAACCTCGTCTACTGGCTCTACTATGTCTGATTGGGCCATTTTGTTGAGGCGTTTGTTGTTTTATTTTTTCATTTCTTTTTCTTCCTCTTTTCTGTTGCTTTTATACATAATGTAATATGTTGAATTAAAGACTGCAACAGTACAATACAAGACAAAAAAGATTGAGAGACTACTGAATTTTGGACCAAGTTCTTGTTAGAATTGTTTTTATATTTGAAGTCTTTGAAACTTTAGTATCGAGGTCTTTTTATTTTCTAAAGTATGTACTGTAATTGGGACTTGTGACAACCTTCCCAACATTTGCCCTCTCAATAACGTAAATAGAGAGATACAAAGCCAGCAGTTCAATAAGTAATACAGTATTTGCAAAAAAACAAAACACAGGGAAGCAGTTAGCACAAAGATTTTTCTAATCAAGCAATTAAGGAAACTTTCTACTGCACAGGTCCAGCAAATTCATTAAACAAACTCATGTAGGTTTGACAGGCACCCTATGCACTAATAACGCATGTATTGATCAACCATTGTGGGAAAATGATTCAATTTTTGACTTCGCACAACTTTACAGAAGAAAAGACTCTGTTGACTTGTATTGATTTATAGCTCTGGTAATATTCAGTGTACTTGCTATTGATCATGACGTGCATTGATGTGGCTACTGTTTATCCAAACACTGTAATTGAAAGTTGAGGATTTTGTCATCTGTGCAGGATGGTGGTGACTCAGGTTCAGAATTTTTCCTGTTCGGCATCTTTTTCTTGACAAAGAAAAGTGCCGCTGAAATATCCTTCTTGGTCAAAAGCACAAATATGAATAAACTGCTTTTTTCCCCACTTCAACCTTCTAGCAACTGCACTTCAAGTGATTGAATGACAGAATTGCACTCAAATTTATCAAACTTCCTTGAAAAACTTTCATTTAAAACAGCAGCCAAGGGCCCTTTTGGGGCGACACGGTTACTCAACCCATGAAATATTCTGATATTTTTGTACGGTGTCTCTTTCAGGTATTGATCCGGTTTCCTAAATTGTCTCCTTTTCTTTTTGCTCAACAATAGCTTTGTTGTGATACGGTGGAGGACTCAAACCCATTTTTTGTACATAAGTACATAGAGGTGTATATACGTAAATGTACATATATATATGTATGTATACAGTGTGTACAACCCAAAATGAAAATGATCAAATATTGAGCATTTCGTGATTGTCATACTGCTTATAAACAGTCAGATTATTTAGTGCAACATAAAGAATGAACCGACCGGTCCGTTTCAAGCATCAGTTTAGTTTTTGAACATTTGTGGGGGACCCTGAATATGTTTCTTTTCAAACATCCAACCGTGTTGAATTCTGCTCTAGACACTGTGTGCATGTCCAGCTCTGCATTTTGCTATTGTACGCCTGCCCATACGGAACCAAGTGATACAAATTTCATTCAGTTCATTGATTCTGCAGACTGTGAGAAGCAGTCTGTCGACTGATGAGCACACACTAGTGTTGAATGTATCAGATCCATTCTTCAGGGAGAGGAAAATGAGCCATGGTCATCGTTTTCCAACAGAATGTAACACACCCATTTTTATGTTCTGACAGGTGACGGAGAAAGAGAGGGAAGGGGTGGTGTTTCACAAGTATGGATGGGAAATAGATACTGTAAGGGTGGATAGACTTTTTCGTGCTTCTTGCTCAACTATGGACAAATGTCAATGTATAGTATTTTTGTGGATGAAAATAGCTCATCTGTCTTTTGATAAACCATGTGCCTCTGTGTGTGCATGAGCAAGAATAAAAGTAGAAAAAGATGGTACTTGGTGGTGTGATTGAGATGCTTGGTCTACAGAGTCACTGACAGTCAGAGTTGGTATCAGCTTAACTTTACATGTACAGTCTAATCTGTGACTAAGAACTGGATGTGTAGTACTTGGATTGTTGCTGCACACCGGTTTTCTTTCTGGCAAAGGCTTGACCTCAGCCCTGATTAATAATCAGGCTTGAGCTGATTCCTCATTCAGTCTCCAGAAAGCTCCAGTTTATAGATGAAAAATGCTAAAACATCTAGTTAAAATTGTGCTCAGCAAGAAAGCAAGGCAAATTTTTGTCTTTTGTGTATGAATTTAAGTGGTGAACCTTGCTTATTTGCCTTATCAGTCAATGTACCAAGTGGATGTTAGCTGTTAGCAAGCTAGCAGTGGTCTCTCCGGTCTTTTTCCTCTCATCTCTGTATGTTTATGGAACAGATTTCAGCTCCTGCAGACATGCCTTTGCATCAAATCACACCACAACTTTCTATTGACTTCAAATTTGCTTCGTGTGTAAGAGAGGATGTCTCCAAACAATGTTATAATGATTGCACACATTCAAGATAGAGCATCTCTGAACCAGTTTGTCCAAAAATTGTTTCAAGCTGTTCTGTGTAGTTTGGAAGAGAAAATTTGTACCTATGAAATGTCAAAACACCTAATGAAATTTCATTGTTGTGTAAATAAGATATAATAAGACAGATTTCTAGAATGCCAGAGCTAAAATAACTGTTTTACAGTGCAAGTCAGAAGATCATCCAGGCTTGCTGGTTCACTTTTGGGTCATTGGGGTGAGATTTCAAACACATTTTTGCAGTTGGTCAATGTATGGATCGTCTTTTATTACCAAATTACATAGTGCAATTGAAAGTTGAAAGAGAAGACAACTGTCACAAACTCTAGATACTTGTTTAGTATGCATGCAACTACACTTTGTAACTTTGGAAGATTTTTTTAAACATATTTTGCAAACTCATGTATGAGATCTCCCAACTGCTCATTTTAAAGATGACATTATACCATGTGAACCTAGAATAAAAAAAATAAACATAAAAAACTTTTTTAAAAAGTCAAAAGACTTCAGATGTTGTATGGCCTTGGTCCCATAATGGAATGTGAAATGTTCTGTGCTGCCACAAAATGTATTTAGGCTTAGATTCATACTGTATATCTGTATGTTTCTCTTCCTTTTTCAGTAGATTATCATGTTAAGCCATCAAATAAATGATATACACTGTACCTGTGTATTTGGTATTGTGAGCATGACACTCCAAAAATGATCTGCAAATACTGTATGTGTATAGCAGGATAGTATAATGAACTGCCATTTCAAGCATCCAATAAATTGTAAAACATATTTTAATAAAGCTTGAAAAGTCTGACATGATAATAAAAGGTATGAATCCCATTGAGAATATTTCATCATTCAAGTGGCCTCGTTCCCTTACAGCTACCTGAAGACTCATTATACTCCCAGGTGGACACACTAGCTTGTGTGTATGAAGTGAACTACGTGAGCGTGTACCAGAGTGTCGGGTTGGAAAAGCACAGTAGCTCCTGGATAAATAAAAACTGAGAAATTGTGGTAATGTGGAGGTGGAGGTTAATATTGCGCATCATAACCTGGCAATTTTGCATCCTACTCAAATCTGAGAAATTTTGTATTTTGGCTCAAGGGACTTTTTTCAGTTAATAACAAGAGTTAGCGTTTTTTCCAATATCAGCTTGTGCTTCTCTTTGTTCTAACAGTTCTTAGGAGATAAAATTGAGGTTCTTTGGCCTTTGTGGTCCATTAGTCCATACATCCATCATCCACATTGTCCTCATAAAACACATTGTAATACATTCATTATAGTTTAACAAATATTTCTCATAAATATTGTATAACATTTGGAGTGTAATGTGTACTTACAGAGAAAAGCTGATGACTGTAATTAGGCCATTAGAAAGAGGTTAGAGCCACCAAAGGAACCCACACACAACTGTTTTTGATTTCATGACCACACAACAGCACATTTGCACAAAATGAGGGGGGAAAGGTGATCTAATGTAAGTTTGTGTGTTAGTTCTTCAGCTTGCTTTAGTTCAACAGGATGCTCAGCCAAGTCCCACCATACCTACTATTAGCCAGTGTTCTCGTGTTCACACAAACTCAAACACCTCAATTCATACCTCAGCATGCATATGCTAATGTTGTAGTCAACTCTGCCAATGCACCATTCTGCCGTGGCTGTGGCTCACGAAGTAGGGCAAGTTGTCTTCTAACCAGCAAGTTGGTGGTTTGACTCCTGGGCTCCCCACATGCCTAAGTGTCCCTGAGCAAGACACTGAGCCCCAAATTGCTCCCGGTGTCTTGACCAGCATTGTTGTGTGGCAGCCTTGTCGTCATCGGTGTGTGAATGGGTGAATGGTGTATAATCTCCCTGTAAAGTGCTTTGGCCAGTGCATAAAAGCGCTATATAAATACAGTCCATTTACCATTTACCACGACCACACAGACACCAAACCTGCGTTAACTAGTAACTGTAAAGAATACGTTGTATTTAATCAGGTCCAAACAGCAGCTGGGTATGTAATCTGCACTTTATTAAGGATGAGCCCATCTACAACGTAGTCTCTGTGGGATCATTTGTCAGTATAGCAGAGAGCAACTGTCAGAGAAAATAACTCAAGTCACACCTCTTGAATAATCGCAGACTCTACAAATTAAAATGACCTAAATTGATTCTATTAGTCTTAATATTTCATTTTATGTGGATGCAACTGCAAGCAATAGTGATTTGGCAGCCACGGTGCAGTGATTTGCTCCGCAGCTCTTTTCACCATAGCCAGCATAAATGGATGCTGTTCAATAAAACACACTCCCAGCATTTGTACTGGCTCTAAGGAATCCAGCCAATCACCTCCCTTCATCTCAGGTAGACAAAATATGTACTGCGAATATCACACACTATTTATGCATAATGACTAAAGAAAATGCTGAGCTCTGCTTCCCCCTCTCCACAGTATATGAGTCCCTGGGGTACATGTGATAGATTTTTAATCTCTTTTCTTTGGAGCCTTTGTATTGTACAGTATATCAGAGTTCTAACCCCAAGGTATACCGCAGTCTATCAATAAATAAATCATTAAAGAAGGTCACTGTTCAGCAACACTGAGGGATGCATGTAAGTGGCCTGTTGTTGTCTGTAGAGCAGGTGTTTTGCATAGCTCCCTATTCAGCTCTTGCCGCTGTACCATCACATTCAAAGAACAGATTTGCAAGACTTTATCTGCTGTCAAATGCTTTTGAGAGGGGGGAAATATACTTCTCAACTTTGTCACTTTCTTTTGCTACATTGAAAGCTCCAGTCTTTCTCCTAGAACACACTTTATATTCACTTCTTGTTAAAGCTCACAGTCTGTGCCTGGTGCTTCTCAGGACCGAGGTGGTCGTTGAGAAGCTGACAGAGATGTTGTGTTATATGACCTCGGGCAAAGAAAATGCACTCGAGGGGGCTGTAAAGTCAAAGGTTTTTATTTATAACAAAACAAAGCTCTTTTTTTTACAAGCAGCCTCTCAATCATTCATTTGGATCTTATCAACTCAGTGTGGATCCTAATGCTAAAGTTTTAAAATTGAAAAATTTCTTTCAAACTAAGTAAGTGCTGACTAGGTGGTATAGCCTCTGGGCTCAACATCATTAACTTGCAATGCAGTGGCTCTGGAGGTGTATAATTGCTCACAGAATTGTGTTGGAGCACAGACATTTAGGGAATGTGCTGCTAAATACTGTCCGAACTAGACGAGAAGATAAGTCCTTCATTTGGGTTTCATGATGTATTTGGGAGGAAGTAATAAGATGCATTGTTAGGCATTGACCTGAAGCAGAATAGAGCTTTATGTATGAGCTGTGTGCACTCAAAATCTGATTGACTGTGCACAAGTCTTAGGCTGCATTCATGCTGAAACATTACCTAGTTCATTTTATCTACCTCCTTCTCAGCTGAATTTGAGCATGCTTGCTGATATCATGTGATGATATGAGCACTCAGGGGCCTCACTTTCCCTGAGATGAAATGATTTCAACTCCTAACATAGCAGTGATTTACAATAACAGGCCTTCGTCAGTCGCATAGCAACAACAGCTTCCACAACCCAGGCTTCCTACAAACAGTAGATGTATCTAGCACTGCTTGTTAAAACACAAGGCCACTGAGGCTGAGTTGATTTGATAGAGATAGCAGATTATTGATACATTTGTTGATTTAAGTGCTGAGTGGACAGTCAGTGGATTCTTAACCCAAATAACTGAGCCCTGAAAACTCATGAGGAGGTGGAGATACAGCCGTGTTTCTTGTTGAGAAACTCACTCAGTGAATTCTGTCTGATGTTTTCTTTCTTTCTTTCTCCCTGCCTGCCAACTGACATACTTTCTTTTAATTCATCAGCAGTGGAGCAAGCACTGGCTGGAGCATGGGAGGGAGTAGGAAGGAGAAGGGATGGTTGGAGGGAGAAAGAAAGTCTGCTTCACTATCAAAAGGCTGTTTCTCAGACTGGGGGGAATGCATTGACTCTTTATGATCTCAGTGATACACAACAATCTACTTTTCTCTTTATTCTTCATGCCCTTTGTCTCTCTTGTTCTCTTTCCATCATCTGTCACTCTCTCTTGCATGCATCTTAACTTCTCTCTCATTATAACCTGTTTTATTTAGGACCTGACATCAACTGGACGGTGAGGATGTACTGTACAATGGAATCTTTTTGCACCCACTACATAAAAATATTTCTTGAAGAACTTGAGCGACTCCATATTTCTAAATCATTAAACATTTAAAGAGCTGTTCCCCAAGTGTTCAATACTATAGAGAATAATGTCCTATTATGCACAGTATGACCCAGAAACAGCTCACTCCTATCCTGAGTCACTTCTTCCTGCTGCACTGATTATCAGCGGCTTTTTGAAGAGACATAAAAGAGAATACCTACCACTACTTTGCTTTGTCAAACCAAGATTTTGTCCAGTCTATCTTAACATCTGAAGCAATAACATGATAAATGTTTCAGTCTCACTTTACACATGTTCTTGATGTTAAGAATACAAGATGAAGTCACTTGTAGCATGAACTTTTTTTGGAGCGTGCATTCCCATTTCCTGTGTTTAGATATTATCAGCCTGTATGTCCTCCCATTTGTTCTCCTCGACAGGAGCGTTTCTATTACCTTGGCTCATTGTGATCAGAACAAAGTGAGCAGTGGCTGCCAGGGAGCGGGCGACGGCAGAAACAAAAGTAGCTTTGTTTTAAATGTCGCTATATATCTCCAAAAAGGTTAACAAATTTGTTTTATCACTCTGGTTTTTTTTTTTTTTTGCAGTCGCTCTGCATGAGACAAAGGTATCTAATCAAATGTATTTAAGCCTCTTTCACACAGAGATGTTAATATGCTCTTTAACGAGAACAATATGGGAAAAAAAACAAATTAAGGTTTGCAAAATACAAGAAGCAGAATTGTAAAATTTGGGCCAAGATTAGGTTTTCTGACAGGTTTAATGCACATTTAAGACTGAATCAATTTAATCTTTATCATAAGGTAAAAATGCATAACCACAATTAGATTTCACAGGATGGAGAGATTAATGAAACAGCGCCTCAAAGAATAAGCTTGTGTTTGCTGCCATCTGTTGGGCATTTTTAGTAATTACAGTATGTGCACTACCTAACACCTTTTTGCTCAGTGTATATGTGGCACACATATATGCATTTTAACATATATAGAAAATGTGTCTGACCTCTTTTAAAACCCCCTCCTCATTGAATTTCCATACAGTCCCACAAACAAAACATTTGCATGCTATTGAGATTGAAGCATGATCCTTTTTCTCAGATTGTATAGTGTATTGTGTAATGGTTTAGAAACATTCTGTGTAGCCTCCCTCTAATGCCATTCTGACCACATTTCTAAGCATAAAATGTAAATTCACCCCAAATACACTGCTGCAATGTGACTAAATTGCTGCTTGTAGCCTTGCAAAACCAATAGATGTCTCCTCCTGTAGGAGTCGTTTCTTTCAGCCTTCAACAAAACGTTCACCTCCACTCAAACACTGAAGCTCTCACAGCATAAGTCTGCCATGCTGACAGAGGCACCCACTGTTTCTTTATATAAGACCTTTATATAGCACCTGTTTACCTTGAAACACTGTTGCCAAGTAACGGCATCCTGATTGTGTGTGGGGTCGTGTGTGGGTGTGCATATGTCAGCTTGTAGGTGTGTGTGTGTGTGTGTGTGTGTGTGTGTGTGTGTGTGTGTGTGTGTGTGTGAGTGATGGATGTGTTAAAGTAGTATTGCAACTCCTGGCTCTTGCTCTCTCCTTCTCAGTATGAGCTGCTTAACTGATACATGCACTACAGTAATGTCCTTCTTAGAGAACAGGATTAATATTAAATTCAAGAAGAGCCTTTCATTGATCCCTCACTGTGTATTCATTGTTAAGGTGGTTTTACTGAAGGAATTTAAGGTGTGTTCATGCATGGTGGTTTTTGCATACTGTCTTCAGCCTGGGACAGGACGGAAAGTAAGTGGGTTAAATAGTTCCTGTTTTAGTTCTTAAATGTTATGGCACCCAATACTAGGTGAGAGAGAAATGGTATTTCGATTTTCTGTATGTCCTGCACATATGATGAATTGACAATAAAATCCTTGAACCTTGAACCTTAAGTCAGTGCTGAATGATGAATCAAAATAAAATGAAACATTCAGATTTGCCAACTTATTTTCAGGAACTTTTGATTATTTTAGGTTAGGCCATTGCCTAAGGCAATCACTGCTTTATTAAACAAGTTACACAGTCTTATGAATTTACAAAAACCTTTGCACAGAGATTAAACACACTCACTCACTTGTAACATCTCATGAATTAAGTCAGTGTTTTCTTTTTGACAGTGGGCTCTTAATGATAATGTTGGTTAATACTGCAGAGTGCGATCCCCCAGTACGTTCACAGCCAAGACCAAAGACCTCAAAACCCTTTAAGCTGCAGGAGAGAGCCGTTTTTAGGAGTTGCTTATACACACGCAACAGTCAACCTAGGTGAGCTTTGGCTCCACCTGCTGGTTTCACCTATTTACAAAGTTAATGTGCATTTGCGTCATCAGGCTTCCTCACTCTGTGGAAATCCGTGAGCCACCCCTGCCATCAAGTTAGCTACACTTACACTAACAGAAGAAGTTTCCGCCGTGAAAAATAACATATCTACTATCACAATCTCATTTAGCATTTCCACAACATATTGACATTCACAAGAGCTTATAACAATTTAAGATAAGAAAATATAAGCTATAAGTATAAATAGATATAAATATAAACTGTGTTTTAGTATGTTATAACTCCTCACTACCTCACCAAGTGTAATGCCATATCCAACTCCATCATGTGAATTACTAAGTGCAATGTTTGAAGGCCACTGGGGAAAATACTATCACCCTATTTTTGTGTATTGTGGTTTTTAATACTTTGTTGCCTTTATGTAACTTTTTTATTGTTTAAGACTAAGTGTTCTTTCTGGCTTTTGACTTCTTACCTGACTCTAAAGGAGAGCTGCACAAGAATTCCTATATGCATAGACCGTCTGTTTATGCATAAATGGCAAATAAAATCTTGAATTGACTTGACTTGACTTGACTTGACTTGATAAGATAGTCTTTATTGTCACTGCACACTCACCTAACAATGAAACTGAAAGTGCCTCATCTCATATACAG